CATATGTGAATATGTTGCTAGAAAAACTAGGGGAAAATGTGCTTCATGTTTTATAGGCGTCTAAAATAAAAGATTGAAGACAGGAGTGCCTGGCGTGCTCTGGTCCATGGGGTCACGAAGAGTCAGAGAGGACTAAAGGACTAAACAACAACAAAATAAAAGATTATATTGACTGTGAAAAATCAAGACTGCTTCAATGACTTCCCGGGAAAGTTGGTCGGAATGTTAGGACACTGCATGTCAAAACACACTTTCTCTTTCCAGGTTTGTTTTAGTTTTTTTTAAGAAATACAGTTCATTGGGAAACATGGAGGAAGAAAACCAGGAGGTTTTGTCATGTTGGAGCTAATGTGTTTTCCCACATCCATAACCAGCCCAGGGGTCATTTGGAGGAGGGAATTGAAAGGAGGGGAGAGGTCTTTGCTTGGCCCCTCACTCACCCTGACAGGGTCCTTTGATTCCAAATCCTCTTAAATGATCCACTTCTTTGACTTCCAATATCTGATGGGAGAGTCTCAGTGCTTCTCTTTCACTGGGTAGCTATTTGGTAGAAGCAGCCTGACCACACCTTCATGGGCTCTATGAGGTCATGGGTATATTACTCTCTTTTGTGGACTGGCTTACCTGGTCCTCTGTGAGGTCATGCCCTCTGTACCTGATGGGCTGCTGAAAGCCTCCAGGTCTGAGAGGCTGGTAGGAAGATCAGCCTTCAATATTTTAGAGGGAGCAAGCTTGATCTATTGTTACATCCAGCAATGGGAATGCTCATCGGATTTGCAGATGGCACCAAACTGGGAGGGGCAGCTAATGCCACAGAAGAAAGAATCAGGATTGGGGGTGCCATTTGTCCTCTTTTTCCAGGACATGTCCCCTTTTTCATGGGCAGAGTCATAGCGATCCATAGCTAAAAGCAGAAGTCAACAAATGTGTCCTTTTTTTTGCAACTCTACATTGAGTCCCAGCTAACGAAATGAATTTCAATGGGGACAAATGTCAGGTTCTGCACTTAGGAAGGAAGAACCAGATGCACAAATACAGGATGGGGGACACCTGGCTTACTAGCAGTACATGTGAAAAGGATCTAGGGGTTTTGGTGGACCACAGGCTGAACATGAGTCAATAGTGTGATGCAGCAGCAAAGCTAATGCTATTGTTAAGCCCTCAGAATGAATAAATGCTAGGATTTTGATCAATTGGGATATGGATTAGATTAGAACATAAACTGCAGAGCTGTTCCAGACAGGGAATTCCTGTCCTGGCTGACCTCTGGCTATCAAGAGTACAATAGGGGCCATTAACAATGCAAGGGAACTTCCCTCTTGACCTTAGGTGTGAACAAAGACTGGGGATTTGGGAGTTTGCCAGGGTACCTGCTCTGGGGGAGGGCAAGGGGTTTCTGGGAGAAAGAAGGTGGGGGGGAGGAGAGATTCATCTTGGAGAGAAAGGCTGAAGGATGCCTGCACTGCTGCCTCTTGAACTGACCATGCCGTAAGAGCTGGACTCCTTCCATGCAGACTGAAGGTGTAAATAGCTGAATAAACCCTTTTTCTTAAAGTACTGTTTCCACCATGTCTTCTATTCTCCAAAGTGACTCTAGGCTACATCAACAGAAATAGTGTCCCGATCACAGGAAGTAATAAAAATAAAAGGTAAAGAACCCGAGGATGGTTAAGTCCAGTCAAATTTAACTATGGGGTGTGGCGCACATCTCTGCTTTCAGTCCGAGGGAGTCGGCATTTGTCATCAGATACCCCTGGTAGTGAGGCTGCATCCATGTGATATAAGTAAAAAAAAACCTGCTCCTTTTCCCTTATGGGGTACCCAAGAGCCCATAGGAGAGTCCTTTTGTAGGCTCTCTATGGGTAGGAGAAAATAACAGAGACCAACCAGAGAATATTGAGAAGCAAAGCAGCTCATAAGCCTGATATTTATTAACTGTTGCAACAGGGTGCTCCCCCACATGCAGGAGAGAGGAGGAGGACCCCGAGCCATGCGTGTAAGCCCTTATATAGACATTTTAAATTGCCCTGGAGTCCAAGACCACCCCCAGAAACATCATACCTACATCACAGACTTGAAGCCATTGGTTTGAGTCATAGCTGTCAACTTTCAGATTTGATAATAAGGGATCAGCAGCCTCACCTGTCCCAGGCACTCCTGTCTTCCACTGCCTCCCGCAGTTTGGTCAAACTCATGCTGGTAGCTTCGAGAACACTGTCCAACCACCTCGTCCTCATGGTTCAATGTTACTAGTGAGCAAAGTTACCCAGTCAGGATTTGAATCTTGGTCCTAACTTTGGGGGTTAAGTTTCTATTTAGCTGTCCATTAATACTGACAAACCGTATCTCCCATTCATCTCTCAGATCCCCTTGTAAATCTAAAGTACTGACCTCACCACATCCTGCGGTAAAAAAATTCCCCAAGTTAATTACACATTGTGTGGAGGTAGGTGTGTGAAGCTACAGCACTCCTACTATCAGCTTAAGTGACACATTCACTCTCTCTCTCATACACACACGCGCGCGCGCACACACACACACACACACACACACACACACACAGAGTAGAGCCCCTCCAAGCTAAAAGCCCAAAAGCAGAAAGCCCAGCCAGCAGCCAAACGAAGCCTCAAGCAGTGGTTCCTACAGCGCAGCAACCCGGCAAAGGGATACAGCAGCAAGGAAAACCGCACCGTCACCTCTCCGCTGGGAAGCGCTGAAGCAGAGGCGAGTCCCCAGGCAACGCGGCCGATTTGATCGGCACAAGGCATGCAAGCTCCACCCCCCAGTCGTTCTCAGACTGCTTAGTGGTGAGCAACGCAGCCAAGCAACACAGTTGGAGCCTCCCTCCTCCCTGGCCGGCAGGGAGGGAGGGAGAGGAGCTGCTTCCTTTGAAATCTGGGAAATTTACGCTATATCAACAATCCGGGGTAGCAGCAGGAAACGGCGCTGGAATAAGGGAGTTTCCCTCCAAATAAAGGAAGGTTGAGTCCTCCCCTCCAGAGCAGGCAAAAGCAAGCATGCTCCCTCCTCCATGTGACAGCCCTTGAGATATTTGAAGATGGCTCTCTCTTTTTTTTTTAATAAATATTTTTTATTAGATTTTCCATAAAAAAAACATTTTTACAAAATTATACATCCATTTTTAACTTAAACCCTTTTTTCCAGAACTTCCCTCAGCTTGTCTGATAATTTTCCGTTTATTTTTTATCCTCGTCTCACATTTCCCAATATTATATTGCACTCAAATACTCTTAATCACATCATATTTTTAAACTATATTTCTAACAGTAATTTCACAGAGCTTCTTGAAAGCCAACGAACGTTATTTGCTCATCACAGAATTTTTGATATACTCTGTAAATTTCTTCCAGTCCTCGGAGAATCTCTGGTCACGTTGGTTCCTAATTCTCCCCGTCAATCTGTCCATTTCTGCGTATTCCATCAGTTTCATCCTCCATTCTTCTTTCGTGGGCATCTCTTCCTGTTTCCATTTCTGTGCCAGCAAAATTCTGGCTGCTGTTACTGCATACAAAACTAATTTCACATCTTTTTTACTAATTTCATTATCCAGTATTCCCAACAAGAGAGCTTCTGGTTTTTTAACAAAAGTATATTTCAGCATTTTCTTTAACTCATTATAGATCATCTCCCAGAAGCTTTTTACCTTCTTACATTCCCACCACATATGGTAAAATGTTCCTTCTGTCTCCTTACACTTCCAACATTTATTACACACTTTATACATTTTACCCAGTTTTACTGGTGTTATATACCATCTATATAACATCTTCATAACATTTTCCTTAATCGTTGTACAAGCTGTAAACTTTAACCCATCCTTTCATAATTTAGTCCATTTCTCAAATTCAATATTATATCCGAAATCTCTAGCCCAACTAATCATAACAGATTTAACCTCTTCGTCCACAGTATTCCATTCCAACAATATTTTATACATTTTAGATAAAATTTTCACTTCATTGTTTAAGATTTCTTGTTGAAATCTAGATTCTTTTCAGAACATCCCCTCTCTAAAACCTCTTTTTAAACATTTCATTTAACTGAAAATAATGCAGCCAATCCTTAACATATTCTTTTACTTCTTCATATGGTTTCAATTTCCACTTATTTCCTTCCTTTTTTAATAGTTTCTCATATGTTATCCATCTCCCGCTCATATTTATCTTTTTAATACTCATAACCTCTAATGGTGATAACCAATGTGGAATCTTTGGTTCTAATACATTTTTATACATATTCCAAACTCCAATCAGAGATCCTCTAAAGATGTGGTTCTCAAACCCTTTATGTATTCTTTTTTTATCAAATCATAAATACGCGTGCCAACCGAATCTATTATCATAACCTTCTAAATCCAATAATTCATTATTTTCTAACTTCATCCATTCTTTCAACCAACAAAGACATGACGCTTCATAATATAACCTCAAGTCTGGCAGGGCGAAACCTCCTCTTTCTCTTGCGTCAGTTAATATCTTAAATTTAATTCTTGGTTTCTTGCCCTGCCAAATATATCTTGATAATATTCTTTGCCATTCTTTAAATATTGTCACTCCTTTTATTATTGGTATTGTTTGAAATAAAAATAACATTTTCGGTGGCTCTCATATCTCCCCCAGTCCCCTCTTTTCCAGAATAAAAATACCCAGCTCCTTCAACCACTCCTCATAAGGCTTGGTTTCCAGACCCTTGATCATCTTGGTTGCTCTCCTCTGCACACAGTCCAAGTAAGACCGACCCTCCCGCTCTTGGCTGCAGAATACCAGGCTATTTCACAGTTTATTAGGAACTGCATAACTTAAAGAGCAGCTAGTGAGTTTTTAAGGAATCAGTTAAATGTCACTGCCATACAATTATAAAAAGCTCAGCAGAAGTTCTTGAGTTTAGCTGATTTTTATGTCTGTCTCCACCAGAATGCAATGATAAATTCTTTTCCAGTGGAAATCTAGCAGACTGACTCCTTTGGGGCAGTGTCATCTTCACCGTTTACTCTTTTTAGGTGAGCTTGCTTTTGGATCCACAGGTGCCAGGAATGAAGATACCCGTTGAAAGAGCACAGCTATCCAGGCCAGACCAACGACGATCCAAGCGGCTCCGAGCACCCGGTAGCCCGGAAAATACGTCCTGTCCTGCTTAATCCCTGGAGACACAGAGAAAAGCAACAAGAATGTGTGAGGAGGTGATTTAAAGGACTCACCAATTCAGTTTATCTAAACTTCGTTAGCTCACATTCACACCATACATTTAAAAGACATTTCTGCCACTGAATTGTGGGAAGACGAACACAGGAAACTGCCAATGTCCTTATTATTGCCTATTCGTGATGGTTTGGGCACATGATGCTGTTTTGGCCTGCAAAAGCTTTGGGGTGGTTGCCCTACCACATTCCCAATCTGTGCACATCCTATAACTTCCTGCTTAATAATAATAATATTTGTACCCCATCCATCTGACTGGGCTTCCCCAGGAATTCTGGGAGGCTTCCAGCATATATCAAAACATTATAAAACATACAACATTACAAACTTCACTGTACATTTACAGGTAGGTAGCCATGTTGGTCTGCCGTAGTCGAAACAAAATAAAAAAAATCCTTCCAGTAGCACCTTAGAGACCAACTAAGTTTGTTATTGATATACATCTGAAGAAGTGTGCATGCACACGAAAGCTCATACCAATAACAAACTTAGTTGGTCTCTAAGGTGCTACTGGAAGGAATTTTTTTACAGTGGTACCTCGGGTTACATACGCTTCAGGTTACATACGCTTCAGGTTACACACTCCGCTAACCCAGAAATAGTGCTTCAGCATAAGAACAGAAATCGGGTTCCAGTGGTGCAGCAGCAGCAGGAGGCCCCATTAGCTAAAGTGGTGCTTCAGGTTAAGAACAGTTTCAGGTTAAGAACGGACCTCCGGAACGAATTAAGTACTTAACCCGAGGTACCACTGTATTTTGTTTCCCTATACAGGGCTGCCTTCAGATGTCTTCTAAAGGTTGTGTAGTTCTTTATCTCCTTGACATCTTCCTGGTTCCTTGTAACCTCACTTCTTGCAGTGAGGGACCCATCAGAAGGCCCACGGAGATGGACCTCAGTGTCCGGGCTGAACAATGGGGGTGAAGTTGCAGTTCCAACCAAGAGAAAGGTGCAAAATCACTGTCCAGGAAAACATACTGGGCATTTTCTTTTCTTTTATGTTTGATACATCCAGCCCAACCCTCTGCAATGCAGGAATCTCAGCTAAAGCATCCATGACAGATGGCCATCCAACCTCTGCTTAAAATACCCCAGGGAAAGAGAGTCCACCACCTCTCATGGGAGTCTGTTCCACTGCCGAACAGATCTGACTGTCACAATTTCCCCCAAATGTTTAGTCCGAATCTTCTTTCTTGCAACTTGAAGCCATTGGCTTGAGTCCTACTTGTCAGGGATCTAGCAGGGTCAGACGAATGGGAGGGGTCTGACTTGGACAATGAGAGAACACAATCACAGGCAAGACAGGAGTGGGTTAACTTGACCCCCTTCCTTCTCAGTCTTACAAAGTTGGCAGAGTAACAGAGAATGAGACCCAAGGGAGAGACAACTTGAGGTTACTAGGCAAACATGAAGGCAAGAGAATTCAGGGGAATCTTCAGTGGAGAACAAAAAGAGGGAGTTCCTATGGTCTCCTCACAGCAGGAGGGAGGAGAGGGTGAGAAGGCTATGTAAGGGTCAGAGGAGCAGGGCCAGACATTGTCAAACCTTGTGTTGTCTGAGGAACAGAAACTCAGACTGAGCACCTGATTACCAGAGAATGATTGGTGTGTGCCGCGCTTTGTTTCTTTGACCTGTAAATAAAGGTACATGAATTTTCCAGAGGCTCGTTACTGCATACTGGAGCCATCTGACTGCCTGAGATCATTATACTACTCTAAAGATCAAGAGAAAACAAGCATGCTCCCTCTTCCATGTGACAGCCCTTGATATATTTGAGATTGGCTACCTTGTCTCCTCTCAGCCTCCTCTTTTCCAGGCTAAACATATCCAGCTCCTTCAACCATTCCTCATAAGGGTTGGTTTCCAGACCCTTGATCATCTTGGCTGCCCTTCTCTGCACATGCTCCAACTTGTCAACAGCCTTCTTAAACTGTGGTGCCCAGAACTGGACACGGTATTCTAGGTGTGTTCTGACCAAGGCAGAATAGAGTGGTACTATTACTTCCCTTGATCTGGACACTATACTTCTACAGATGCAGCCGAGAATAGAGTTAGCTCCCCCCCACACACACACACACACTGCTGCATCACACGGTTGACTAATGTTAAGCTTGTGGTCCACCAAGACCCCTAGATCCTTTCTGCATGTACTGCAAGTAAGCCAGGTGTCCCCCATCCTATATTTGTGCAGCTGGTTTTTCTTGACTAAGCGCAGAACCTTACATTTGTCCCTATTGAAATGTATTTTGTTAGCTTGTGCCCAGTTCTCCAATCTGTTAAGGTCATTTTGAATTGTGATTCTGTCTTCTGTGACATTAGCTACCCCTCCGAGTTCGGTGTCATCTGTACATTTGAGAAGCATCCTCTCAGTTCATTCAGCCAAGCATTTATAAAGACATTGAACAACAACAAGCCCAGAACAGAACCCAGTGGCACACCACTTGTCACTTTTTTCCAGGATGTTGAGGAACCATTGATGAGTACTCTTTGGGATGGCTTCTGTAAATCCAGAACTGTTCCTGGAAAATAGGGATACTTGGAGGGTCTGTACTTGAGAAACTTAAAATATGGTTTGGGTTCCAGATTATAATCATTGCAAGTCATCATTTCTTATGAAACCTGAACTGAGCTTTCATATTCTTCAGTACAGCAGATTGGTTGCCACCAGTACCTTCCCCCCCTTTTTTTAATTAAAGACTTTATTGATTTACAAAAGTGTGTGCAATGTCTCTCTCTCGTATTTTTTCCATGTAACATTTTTACAAATCAGTTTCATTTGTTGAGACATTAGGAAGAAAAGGGGAGGAAGATGAGTGGGGTTGGGGTCGGGTGGCGACGTTTCTATTTTACTTAATATATGTGGGGTTTGGTGTCAGCATTGCTTGAGCAGGTTCTTTGCTGTTCACTTGTGTTCCTTTGGTGGTGAGAGAGGTTGGGGTTGGCCTAGGATGTGGTTATTCATTTGAGGTTGGCTGTGGTGCTCTTTGTTTTCATGTGTGAGTGGGGTGGGTGGGTGTTTTGGATCAGGTTAGCCATATTGATTTGTATGCTGTTGATGGGTTTTTGTCATTGTCTTGTTGGGCTGTGTACGTGATAAAGGGGAGCCATACCGGGTTGAAGGTGTCTTCTTCTATTTGTCCCCTTGTCAGTTTCAGTTTATTGGATAATTTTTCTAGTCAGGCTGTTTCCCATACTATTTGGTACCATTGGTCCATGCTTACTCCTGACAGGTCTCTCCAGTGTCTGGCTATGATGCTTCTGGATGCTTAAAGTAGGTGGGTTATGAGTTCTTTGCGGTGTAAGTGGGCATTATTGTCTTGGAAGATGTTTAGTAAGGCTAATTCTGGGGTGGTTTCTAATACCTGCTTGGTTATTTTACTTATCTCTCGTATGGTTCTTGTCCAGAATAGTTGGGTTTTAGGGCACTCCCACCACATGTAGAGGTATGTGCCTGTGGATGTGCACCCTCTCCAGCATTTTGGTGAGGTTCCTGGGCATATTAGCTAGTTTTCTTGGTGTTAGGTACCACCTGTAGGTGAGTTTCAGGGTGAGATCTTTTCTTTTTGTTGATATGGATTTAAAGGGGGGTTTAGAACACATTTTGTTCCATTGAGTGGGGTTAATCACATAGCCTACGTCATCCTCCCATTGTTTTTTGATTGCGTCTAGGGAGTTCGTGGGATTTTATAGTAGTATTTTGTATATTCTGGATACCATTCCTCTACCTGTCCCTTTGTTGTTAGAAGGAGGTTTTGAAGGTTGTCAGAGGCCTAGTTGCTGTTGATTTTACTGCTGGATTGTTTAAGAGGGTATGCAATTGGTGATGTGTTAACCAGGGCATTTGGGTGTCTTCTAGTTTGTCTTGTATTTCTTGTGTTGACAAGGGTTTGTTATTTTTCTAGAAGTCTATTAGGCAATATAAGCCTTTGGTTTGCCAGGTTTTAATCTGGAGGTTTTGTGCTGCGTGGTGGAATAATGGGTGGTGCGGCAGGGGAATTAGTGGGGATGGGATTGGGGACAGTTTGCCTATTACTGCCACCAGTACCTTGAGGCCACAAATGACCTCGCTTTATCTGTACAATCAGTTAAGCCCACAATATCAAAGTATTTTGAAAGCCTTACCTATTATATAGTCTCCAAAACCAATGGTGCTGAGTGTAACAAATGTAAAATAGATAGCTTCATAATAAGCCCAGCCCTCCATCCATTGAAAGAAGAATGATGGCAAAATAAGAAACATTAGAATTCCCATAACCACGAACACGAAAATGTATCTTGCTGATTGCTGAAAGATAAAGCAAGAAAAGAAAAGAAAAAAGGCAGGTTTGATGCAACAGAGTTCAGTCCTCTTGACCTTCAGCCATGCACTGTTATTTTAGGCTGCGTTAACAGATAAATAATAATAATTCCACCCATTAAACTTCATCTGGAGCACAATTTCCTGCTGATGTCACAATTCATGGTGGCCAAGCTCTACGGTGGTATTTCATTCCTAATTGAAGGCACAGTTCAAGTTTATCTTCCTCAGATGGCATAATGCACATGTCTAATTTATCCTTGTGTTCCACCTCTTATAGAGGCAGCTAATCAGATATGCATATGTATATGCAATATAATAGAAGAAGAGATCTGTTGGATCAGGCAAGGGCCCATCTAGTTGAGGGTCCTGTTCTCATGAAAGCTGACCAGATGCCCACAGGAAACCTGCAAACAGGACCTGAGTGCTGTCTATGTCTATAGCAGTCTATGTCGGCCTCAGTCTTGTGATTGGTAAGATTAGACATTATCTCCAGATAAAGTAGCTGAATTACCTTCTTTCCTTTCCCATACACTTTCTCTGCACAGCTTTCGAAGAGTCTTGAGATTGAAGTGCCAATATAGTTAAAGCAGATGAGGTTGAAGGGGATTCCAAAGAGAGCAAAAAGAACACAAAAGAGCTGACCTTCTTTCGTTTGGGGACAGAGGTTTCCATAGCCTGTTGAAAGATTAAGAAAGGGTTGCAAAGGACGTCAGCAACTGTCGATTTGCCAATTGCCTAGAGAAGTTACAGAGCAGGGTCCCTACGAAAGGTTGTTTCCAGTGGAGAGCTTCTTGTGCATTGAGACTGACTGCTGCTTCCTTCCTCTCTCCTGCACAGCCCCCAAATCTGCTCCAGAGGATCCCCATACCCTCTGGAACAGACTTTGAGGGTGCTAAGAGGGGTGCAGTGAGGAGAAGAGGGATAAGCTTCATTGTGCAAGCAGAGGTCTGTGCATGACCAAAATGGCAGCCTTGGATACAGCCCAATGTATTTATTTTATGTAATGCACATATTGACTTCCTTTGTGCCAGTGCACTTGGGGCAATTAACAGTTTCAAACAAAGAAACTTCCTCCAGGCATAATGATGTGGGAGCTTCAAGTGTCTCCCTCCTGTTCCTTGAACCGGACAGGCCCACTGTGGAAGAACTGACCTGAGATGCAATGGAAGAGGCCAAGTGTGCAGGTATGACTTCGGAGACCTTGTGAAACATTGGGTGAAATGGAGGCTCATCATGGCAACCCTTTAAAAAACCCCAAAAGATTGATAATATATTTGTCATGAAAATGTGGCGGTCACAGCATTTTCATGATAATCAAAACAAGTGTAGGTTGATCTGCAGTGAGGAGAGAGCTGAGTTCCTCCATTCGTGACCGTCATGGCTAAAATAAGTTGCAATTCCCAAGCCCCTAAAGACTTTAAGAATGCTCAAGGAATTTGATTTCTCTCAATTCTAGTGTGACCTGGCCTTGCCTGTGAACTGGAACATGCTTAACCTTCAGATTTTTCAGTTCTTCAAAATTTGTGATACAGTTATTGGATTAAAAAATTAATTACAAAAAACTTATTTATTTTGGGATAAATTTAGAAATGTATTTGATGATATGTCTTTGGTGATGAAATAGGGCATGCAAGGAGCGTCTTAGACAGAGGAACCACCATTGTGCCCAGATACCCCATAATAGCCCTCAGGGTAAGTCTTCTGCTCAGAAAAACCTCCATTTTAGTTTCCTTTGCAATTGGCCTCAATTAAGACTTGGCTGATCTATCTGCCAATTACTTCTTATTAATTAATTCTTATCCAGAATGCAAATTGGCTGCTGGTGTAAGAAGAGGCATTATTTAAGAGGCTGAAAAACAAAGCAAAAAAGCTTATCTTAAATTATCGGATGATTGGGATGATCTGGTTAGTTTAAAATCTTCATCTTATATTACTTTTAACTCTCCATCCCTTCAGTGAGATTGAACCCATTAGCATGGGAATAATAATATAATTGCAATTTATTATTTATGTGTCGCCCATCTGACTGGGTTGCCCCTAGCCACTCTGGCTAGCTTCCCCTGTTCTGCAAAAACAATACTTCGGTCTTGTTGGAATTCAACCTCAAACCGTTGGAATGGAATGCACTGTTTACCTAAAGGGACAGACACAAGTTTTCAAAGCAGGGGCTGCTAAGGGAGTGATGAACAGAACTCAATATGGCAAAGACACGGCTGAATGCACCATTGATTGTTAGTATCATCCCACAATTATTGGATGAGCAATTGCAAGAGCTCAAAGATGAGATGCACAGAATGGTGAATGAAAATGGATCAGAGAAAGACCAGACTAAAGAATTCACAGGACCTTTGGGGGGAAATACTGATCAACATATGGCAGAGATAGAGAAAGGATCTTGTGCACAGGTGGAAATGAACTCAGAGGAAAAAACCACCAAGCTTCTGGCAATTCATAGTCACAGAATTGTAAAATTGAAGAGTTGGAAGGAACCCCAAGAGTAATCTAGTTCAAACCTCTGCAATGCAGAAATCTCAACTAGAGCCATCCAACCTCTGCTTAAAAACCTCCAGTTAAGCAGAACCCACTGCCTATAGTGAACAGTGGTTCCTCCAATTCTCGATCAGAGCCTTCAGAGGGTCGCAGAGAGGCCTTAGCACTCTTGAAATCCTCTGAGTCATTTGAGTCAGTTTCAGATTCAGAATCAGAACCTTCATCAGTGAGTGTGGGGCTTTGCTGCTGTTTATCCTCAGACTCTTCACTGTCATCAGGATAACATTGGAAAATTCCCACATTCTCCCCCTACTTGCCATTGTACTCAACACTTCTAGTGAGCCTAACTGTATTAGAGTCAGTCATCATTACTCTGTAAGAACCTTTCTGATATCCTAGAAAGATACCATGCAAACCACGTTTGCCTAACTTGGAGCTTTGTGGTGTGTGAACCCACATGTCAGAACCAAAAATTCTCATGTGCTTGATGTATGGTTTCTTGCCAAACATCTTTTCATAGGGGGTACAACCAATCGGTGATGACAATATGCGATTATAAGTATAAACAAAACAGCTGAGCACTTCTGCCCAATAACTCTGTAAGATTGGCGTCATGCAGCAAGGTTATCAAGCCTTGAAGTAATGTTTGAATTACCCTTTCACAAAGTCCATTCATCCAAGGAGACCGTGGACTTGAAAGGTCATGTTGAATTCCTTTCTCAGTCAGAAAAGCTTAAAACTTTTGAGAAGTGAATTCTCACCCTCGATCTGTAAATAAACATTTCACCTGTTTATCATGCACATTTTTCAACCAAGCACAGAATTCCTTGAACCTAGGAAATGCTTTTGATTTCTGCTTGAGATTGAACACATGAATATATCTGGAATATGAATCAATGAGAACCATGAAGTACCTGGCTTCACCCAAAGGGGGTGTTAGTGGACCAACGAGATCAGCATGCACTACCTGGTATGGTTCTGTAGCTTGTCTACTAGATACCTTACCTTTCGCAGTAATTTTGACCTTGTTTGCTGCGCATTCCTTACATTTCATGTGGTACCTGCAGCGTTTAATAGTCATATCTTCAACTAAGGCAGGCATTTTGGAAACTGCCTCGAAGTTTAAATGACCAAGTTTCCTGTGATAATCATGAATACATCCTGCATGCAAAACCTTAGTATTTGCAATACAAGTTTCATCCTGCACAACATCAACAGAATCATCATAATGTAATACAAACAAATGATCAACATAATCAGCATGCAATACAAAGTCATCTTTCTTGGTGATGGTGCACTTCCTCTTCTTGAAGGAAACATCTATGTCCTGTTCAGTCAGCTGCGAGGCGCTAAATAGGTTGTGTGCAGCATCTGGAACAAAAAGAACGCTGCATACTGATGCATCCAAACTGTGAAGCACAACCGTTCCGTAGCCTTGACTGGAGATCATGTGGTCATCCGCTTGGTGAACCGCACCTTCCTGCAGAGTAATGGACACGAACAGGTGTTTGTCTTTGCAGACGTGCCGGGTGGCTCCCAAGTCTATGATAAAGAAAGATCTAGATGTCTTCTGGACCTTTGGAGTGTAGCGTGAGACCATGGTCTTGTGTTGCATTGTCCTGGACTTCTGACCTTTGCCTTTTCCACACGTTGAACTTTCGCTGCGTTGCTCTGTTGCCTTGGCATTGGGATGTTTACATTCCCCCTTCACGTGGCCTAGATGCCCACATAGTAGCATTTCACTGCCTTCAAAGCTTTGGCACCATCTAGTGGTTGCACTGCATTCTGGGATGACGTCTGTGAGGACTCCCCCTTAGTGATGCAGCTAGCACTACACCGATCCGCTTCATTCAACACCACAGCAGTAGCATGCACTACCGTGAGCTGAGCAGTAGGCAAAACAGCAAGCTGGCTGGCAATCGCTTCCCAACTTGAACCCAAAAAATGTAGAATCATGAAGGAATACACAGCCTCTGGAAAAGTGATTCCACGCTGTTGCAACTCATGCCTTAGATTCTGCATTTCCATGAGGTGAGCATGTACATCTGCTCCATCAGCAAGTGCCATATCATGCAACTTGGCATAAAAGAACAAAGAAGCTCCCACCTCTGTTCTTAAATGTGACTGTTGGAGACTGTCCCACATCTCTTTGGCTGAGGCCTTGTCACGCAACAGACAAAACTCTTCAGGGGACACAATAAGCGTTAGAGTTCCCCTTGCTTTGGAATCCTTAGCCTCCCACTCTTGGGTAACTGGAGCTGGGGCGCGCGCGTCTGTTATGACATTAAACAGACACTCTTTTCTTAGCAGGGCTTCTGCATACTGCACCCATTCCTGATAATTCCCTTTTGAGAGCTTTGGTATCCCCATCACAAATTGAAGAGCCTCCTGTACTTTTGGATTGGCCATTGTATCTTTAAAGCAAGCTAAGTCTGTTTCCCAGCAGCTGCATTTCAAACAGCACCCTTCTGCCGCAGCCGGTTAGTGCTTTGGCTTGAAGTTCAAAGTCCACCCTTATTGCCAATTAATTAGGGACTGGCAGGCTTCCCGGGGTAATGAGCACCTACCTCCCATCAATCTTCTTGACACGCAGAGAAGATAATCTGCATTCTGTTCTTCTGGGCCCAAAACCAAAAATGTCGGAATCTCCGTTCGACCGAGCTCCTCCAAGCTCCTCCGGAATCGCCTCCGACAGTAATTAACGACCTGAGCCTCTTATAAGGCTCCAAGCATATTCCCATTACGCAGAGTATCCAGCACAGGGAAGGACGAGAAGTATGAGCTACATGCTAAGAGTTTTATTACTAAGCTATGGAGACAGAAAAGAAATACATCGTCTCTCTGTGAGAGCAGAGAGCAACTGAACAAACAAAGGAACAGGAAACCAGTAATGTCACATCTGTCTCCCGTCTCCCGTGAGACTTCCAACAGTATGGAATCTCTGGAATGCAAAACAGAGTCTTGTGACTCCAAGCAACTGCACAGTGGCAACACACAGAAACTAACACCCACAACCTCATGATGGAGTGTGTTTCATTGTCAAACAACCCTTATTATCAGAAAGCTCTTACTGTCAGAAGTTTTTCCTGATGTTTAGTCGGAATCTCTTTCTTGTCTTTTGAAGCCGTTGCCTCGAGTCCTATTCTCCAGAGCAAGAAAAAACATGCATGCTCCCTCTTCCATGTGACAGCCCTTGAGATATTTGAAGATGGTTCTCATATCTTCTGTCAGTCTCTTCAACCATTCTTCATAAGGCTTGGTTTCCAGACCCTTGATCTTCTTGGCTGTCCTTCTCTGCACATGTTCCAGCTTGCCAAAATCCTTCTCAAATTGTGGTGGCCAAAACAGAACACAGTATTTCAGGGGTGGTCTGACCAAGACAGAATAGAGTGGTACTATTGCTTCCCTTGATCTGGATACAATACTTCAGTTGATGCAGCCACCAAAAACCCGGATCCTTTTCACATGTACTACTAGTAAGCCAGATGTCCCCCATCTTATATATGTGCAGCTGGTTCTTCCTGCCTGAGTGCAGAAGTTTACATTTGCCCCTATTGAAATGCATCTTGTTGGTTGTGGCCTAGTTCTTCAATCTGTTGTTTGGAATCCCAATTTGTGCTTCACACCAAAAAGCTTAACCAGAGCTTTCCAAACTGTGTGTCGCAACATGTTAGCGTGTTGGCTGCAGTGTGTAGGTCATGCCAACTCTGGAAAGGGCTTAGTTTAACCACCAGCTTGCTAGTAAAACTGAATTACCGTGTCACAAATTGATGCATGTATAAAAAGTGTGTCACCAACATGAAAAGTTTTGAAAGCTCTGGATTAAACAGTGCTAATAAGGTAGGTTCTCCCACTCATTCAGTGCATGGTTTTCTGCATTGAAGGCATTCATCCAGACAAAAAGGGTGTGTGGTTTCTTGAGTGTATTTTGTAGCTAACTGGAAAGAAGTTGCAATCCTATGCAAATATATTGGGGAGCAAGTCCCACTGAATGCATAGGGCTGTGCTGAGAGGGACGGATTTGCATTGGGAGACCTGGCATTGGGTCAGTTGCACCAGGTGGGATTTGAACTCATTTCCTAGCCCAACTACTTTCCACAGGGTGGTTTTAATAATGGGTTGGCCCCAGAAGGGTGGGGAATAAATAACTAATCAGGGAATGGTCTTGTTGGGCATATAATAAATGAACTATTTATTTGGCCAGAAATGGAAAGACAAAAATGAGATGTGAAGGATGATGAAGGAGCAAAAGCAAAGCCTGCAGCTTTACACAATTTATCTGAGAGCAGTTGAATGCCCTGCATACTATATTCGTGAAGAAGCCAGAACCAAATGACAGTACCTATTGTGGATAACATAGTGCCCACGAAGAAGAAAGAAGTACTGAAATCCCAGCTGGCCCTTTCTTCATCACCAAGTCTTCCTATAGGTTCTACTCCCATCTGAACATATTTTACCAGTTTCTGCAATTGAAGGCAAGACTCAGTTTGAATATTCCAACAATAAGAATAGCCCCTCCTCTGATTACCAAATCGCTATGCATTCAGAAGGGAAGTTCTTCTAGATCAGTCCAGCACGTTCTTCCCCCGGTGGCCAGCCCAGTGCTCATGGGAAGCCCACAAACAGGACCTGAGCACAACAGCCCTCCCCTCACTTGTCACCCCCAGTAACTGGTAGGCATAGGGCTTATGCACACTCAACTTTTCCTCCACTCTTTCCAGGCAAAGGCCGCACTCCAATAACACTGATGGCAACACTATAACAAGCTGTGTTGTTTATATCTCAAGTTCAATACTAAGTGTTTCTCTCCCTTGAGTCCAAGAGAGGGTTTGGTCTTCTTGCTCCAAAAAACATACACTTTAGTAGCAATGCATAAATCATTACCCCTTGGCTTCCCTGTCTTCCTAAATTCTTCTGGACAGAGTCTGCTTGGAGTATTGGCTCTCCCATATTCTCAGTCAACCAAACAATGGTGAGACTACCCCATCTCCCACCCTCTGTTCTAAGGCACAAGCACACACTTTTCAAGGCAGTTACCAGACAATGATTCAGCTTTCCTGTGACCTTGAACAGAGTCACCTGTTTTGCAGTTGCTACATGACGTATGTTCTCCTTTTCCCAATATATTTTTATAAAATACGTGTCCCAACAAATATAGTACAGTTGAACCTTGGTTTTTTAATGCCTTGGTACTCTGACATTTTGGCTCCCAAATATTGCAAACCCAGAAGTGAGTGTTCCGGTTTGCGAATGTTTTTCGTAAGCCAAATGTCTGACACAGCTTCCACGGCTTCTGATTGAGTGCAGGATGTGCCTGCAGCCAATCGGAAACCACGCCTTGGTTTTCAAACCATTTTGGGAGTCGAACGGACTACCGGAACAGATTAAGTTCCACAACCAAGGTTCAAATGTACAAATATTAACAAAAACCCGCTCTTTACAACTGAATTGGAGGAAATGTAAATTTGGGTTTTCCGTGGCAATGATTCAGCTTTTCTGTGACCTTGATTGGAGTCACCTGTTTTGCAGCTGCTACATGAAGTATGTTCTCCTTTCCCTAATTTATTCTTTGCAAAATACATTTCCCAACAAATACAGTACTAATACTAACAAAAACCTGCTCTTTATAGATGAATCGGAGCAAAAGTCAATTTGGGTTTTCAATGGATTGCCGTTAACAAGCTGGTTTTCACGTGGAAAGCCCCAGAGCAACGAAATGGTGCTCAGACACGGAGCTTTAAATCATGGCCATGCCTGGAAAGAGTGGAGGAAAGCTCAGTGTAGAGAAGCCCATGCTGCCCCCAACAGTGTTGGCAGAACAGAGCCATAATGGCTAGTAGGAAGGGTGAGTCCTTATGGTTCTATGCTGCTTACTGATTCTGTCCCCACCTCAATTCCCACCTCCTAAACTGTATTCCCCCCATAGATACTTTCTGACCTCTTAACCTCTGGTGTCATGCCACGGTCATCCCTTTCAGTCTTGCTGAAGTAATGCCTTACCTGTATGACTAATTCCACCTCTTCTGGGCTGAGAGAGGTGTAGTTCAAAAAAAAATCCTCTTTCAGCTGAAACATTGCATCTTCCATTTTTAGGTAGTGATCCTTCTCCAGAAGCTCAAAGATGAGGGCACCCATCAGCAAGTAAGTCAAGATGCCAGCCACCAGTAGGAGGCCCTGTACCCTGCTCACACGCATGTTGTTCTGTGTGGGAATGAGAGCCAAGGAAGAAGCAGACACAAGAGTGACTATAGTTTAGTAAAGCAAGTCCTTATTTGTCTTGACCCAGACTCAACAGTACAGCCCCATAGCTGGGCACTCTCCATAGCTGGGCCCAAGCTAATGAAATGAATTTCAACAGGGAAGGTTCTGCACTTAGGCAGGAAGAACCAGATGCACAAATAGAAGATGGGGGACACATGGCTAAGTAGCAGTACATGCGAAAAGGATCCAGGGGTCTTGGTGGACCACAAGCTGAACATGAGTCAACCGTGTGTTATTATTACCACAAGATTTATCTAAATTAGCATCGTTAAACATCAACAAAATGTATCATGACTTATCAATGGATATCGACAGACAGCAGTCATTGAACCAGACCCTCTGGGGGAAAGTCAAAGCTCTTAAACTGAACATAATACCTAGTTTATATCTTAAAAGAAATTCCAATTCACATACCAAGCAAATACTTTCAAAATATTAAATCTTTGTTTAGGAAATGCATTTGCAGAAGTGGCAGGATTTAAGCTAAATAGGAATAAAAATAAATTATTAGTTAAAAACATGAAGGAAGAAGAAAGAACCGAATCAGAACAAAACATTGAGATTGATGTCCATAAAAAGGTTAAATATTTAGGGATTTGGTTAACATCAAGAAATATAAACCTATTTAAAAATAATTATGGAAAAATTTGGCTTGAGGTAAAAAGAAATTTAGAAATATGGAGCAGAATGAATCTCTCAATGTTAGGAAAAATATTGGCGATTAAAATGAATGTGCTGCCAAAAATGCTATTTCTTTTTCAATCAATACCAGTCATCCTGAAAGATGAATGCTTTAAAAAATGGCAGAAAGAGATTTCAAGATTTATCGGGGGGGGGGCAAAAAGCCAAGGATAAAACATAAAATACTTACAGATGTAAAAGATAGAGGCGGGTTTGCCCTCCCAGACCTTAAATTGTATTATGAATCTGCTTGTTTGGTATGGATCAGGGACTGGATGAGATTGGATAAGCAAGAGGCATTAGAACTAGAAGGACGTGATAACAGATTTGGCTGGCACGCATACTTATGGTTCGGGAAAGGAAAGGTTCATAGAAGTTTTTACAACCATATAATCAGGAAATCACTAATGAGAGTATGGGAGAGATACAAAGACTTATTGGAACAAAAGACCCCGTGGTGGCTTTCATCACATGAAGCATTACTGCTCAAACCACTTGGAAAGAAAGGGAAATGGCTCACATATGCTGATTTATTAAAGGAACATGATGGAAAATGGAAATTAAGAGATTATGAGGAGATCAAAGACCACTTTCAGAGTTGGTTGCATTATCGACAACTATATGAAACACATAAAGAAGACAGCAAGAAAGGATTTAGTTATACTAGATCTAGGTTTCAAACGGAAGTGATTGAAGGAAAGTGAAACTACTGAAGGCCGCATACAGCATATTATTAGAATGGGAGACGAAAGATGAAGAGGTAAAATCAGTTATGATTAAATGGGCACAAGATGTAGGGCATAACATTATGATGGAAGATTGGGTTAAATTATGGAAAACTGACTAAAAATTTACAGACTGTTCCCTATTGAAGGAGAATTACATGAAGATGATGTACAGATGGTACACAACACCAGTGCAGCTAGGGAAAATGTACAAAACTAGTTCAAATATATGTTGGAAGTGTAAGGAAAAGGGGGGGACATTTTATCATATGTGGTGGGATTGTAAGGTAATTAAAAAAATTTGGGAAATGATTTACAACGAATTGAAGAAAATGTTCCATTTAACATTTGTTAAAAAACCCAAGGCATTTTTGTTGGGGATTGTAGAGAAAGACCTGCCAAAAAAGCTGAAAAAACATCTTCATGTATGCGACAACTGCCGTGAGAGTTCTGGTAGCACAAGGATGGAAGACTGAAGAAACTCCAACTAAAGAATCATGGCAACAAAAATTGACGGACTATGCAGAACTGGCAAAATTGACATATAAGCTACGGGACAAGGATAACTGTGACTTTAAGGATGAATGGGAACCCTTTACAAAGTATCTGAAGACGCATCGAAGCAAACTGGACTCCTTGGCAGGTTTTGAATAAACATTCACAAACCTTTTATTGATAATAATCAGCTAAATAGTTTGAGGATCTATACAACTTTGTAACATGCAGAAAACAGCATTCTTAGAGAAACCAAAGACTGGAACTGAGGGAAGTCGGGGTGGGGGGTTGTGTGTGTCAGGGAACTGCAGGCAATGAGGGAGGAAAGAAAGGGATGATATAGAGAACGATCCCCTCTGATTAGCAGTTTTTCGTCCTCAGAGGAGAGAGAAGAGGAGAGTGAGTCTGAGCTGGAGGGGCTACTTCTGAGAAAGAGTGCTCCTTGTCACAGGGAAAGACGGAAGGGGCCAGGCAGATCGCTGTGCTGGGGGGAGCAAGGGAGAAAAGACGCTAGTTGGAGCAAGGCGTCATGGAAGTCGGATCACTTTGTTTATTTCTGCCTGTAATTGAGTCGGGAGGCAATAAAGAGTGAAATTTATGGCTGGCTGCCTGGAATGCTTTCTCTGCTGAAAGCAGCAACACGAAGCAGCTGGAAAGCTGACAGTGTGGGAGGGGGGAGGAAGGAAAAATGGGGGGGGACAAGGATGATATGTTTATGTTTTTGGATAATATGTATTGTTATAATTTTGAATAAAATAAATAAATAAAAATACATATGGGGCTCTTCAGTTCCAAGAATATCTATTCAAACAATGCAAAAATTGATCAAGTAGGATTTGGGATCCCAGATTTAGAACTGTATCTCCAAGCATATTTAATGTCAGGTACACAATTCTGGGGGACGCGGGTGGTGCTGTGGGTTAAACCACAGAGCCTAGGACTTGCCGATCAGAAGGTAGGCGGTTCGAATCCCCATGACGGGGTGAGCTCCCATTGCTCGGTCCCTGCTCCTGCCAACCTAGCAGTTCGAAAGCACATCAAAGTGCAAGTAGATAAATAGGTACCGCTCCAGCGGGAAGATAAACGGCATTTCCGTGCGCTGCTCTGGTTCGCCAGAAGCAGCTTTGTCATGCTGGCCACATAACCCGAAAGCTGTACGCTGGCTCCCTCGGCCAGTAAAGCGAGATGAGTGCCGCAACCCCAGAGTCGGCCACGACTGGACCTAATGGTCAGGGGTCCCTTTACCCTTTACCTTTACACAATTCTGGAGACCCACAACTGAAAATAACTGTCCAAATTGGGCTACCTTGGAATATTCCTATGTAGCCCTGCAAGAAAGATGGGTGGCACTCGGGTCTAAATATGTTACTATTCGAGATACTATTGAAAAAATAACATCAGTTTGAACAAAATGGCATCACATGTTCAAAAAAATATAAATTTGACCTTTTCTCCCATGACAAAATGGCTTTGTTGGGAAAAAAGTCTTTAAAAATCGGGAAATACTTTAATAGGTTAAGATCTGGTGAATTACAATAACAACTCTGTAAAGTATAGAGTTTGGGGTTTTTTTCATCCCATCCCCCCTTTACTTTGCCTTCTACACGGCTGCTGTTTCTTCCCCCAAAAAAAAGTCTCTTGAATTTGACATTGCAAGGAAGCTCTGAGGACAAAACCATATGTGAATATGTTACTGGAAGAACTAGGAAAAACCTATTCATGTCGAATAGGTTTCTAAAAGGACTCCCATATATTGACTGTGGAAAAAACAACTGCTTGGGAAAGTCGTTCAAGGTGTTAGGACACTGCATGTCAAAACACACTTTCTCTTTCCGGGTTTGGTTTGGTTTCTTAAGAAATACAGTTCATTGGGAAACATGGAGGGAGAAAACCAGGAGGCTTTGTCATGGTGGAGCTAGTGTGTTTTCCCACATCCATAACCAGCCCAGGGGTCATTTGGAGGAGGGAATTGAAAGGAGGGGAAGTGGTCTTTGCTTGGCTCCTCACTCACCCTGACAGGGTCCTTCAAGTCCAATTCTTAAATTATCCACTTCATTAACTCCCAGTATCTGATGAGAGAGTCTCAGTGGCTTCCTTTTACTGGGTAGCTATTTGGGAGGAGCAGCTTAACCCACCCCATGGGCTCTATGAGGTCATGGGTACATTACCTTCTTTTGCTTAGCTGGTCCTCTGTGAGGTCACCCCCTCTGTAGCTGCTGGGCTGCTGACAGCCTCTAGGTCTGATAGGCTGGTAGGAAGATCAGCCCACAGTATTTTAGAAATGTATAGGGAGCAAGCTCTGATGAGCAATGGGAATGCTCATCAGATTTGCAGATGGCACCAAACCGGGAGGGTAGCTAATGCCACAGAAGAAAGAATCAGAATTTAGGGTTGCCATTTGTCCAGGACATGCCCTCTTTTTCATGGGTAATCATAGCGATCCCTAGTTAAAAGCAGAAGTTGGCAAATGTATCCTCTTTTTTGCAACCCTACATTGAGCCCCAGCTAACAAAATGAATTTCAGTAAGGACAAATGTCAGGCTCTGCACATAGGAAGGAAGAACAAGATGCACAAATATAGGATGGGGAACACCTGGCTTACTAGCAGTACATGTGAAAAGGATCTAGGGGTCTTGGTGGACCACGATCTTAACATGAGTCAATAGTGTGATGCAGCAGCAAAGCTAGTGCTAGTGTAATAGATTGGGGGGGAGTCCCCCCCAAACCCTAGGAATGAATAAATGCTAGTATTTTGATCAATTGGGATATGGATTAAAACATAAACTGCAGAGCTGTTCCAGACAGGGAATTCCTGGGCTGGCTTATGCAAATTAACCTGGCTGATCTGTGGCTATTAAGAGTACAATAGGGGCCATTAACAATGCAAGGGAACTTCTCTCTTGCTCCTAGATGTGAATGAACACTGGGGATTTGGGAGGTTGCCAGGGTACCTGCTCTGGGGGACAGCAAGGGGTTTGGGGAGGAAGAAGGGGGAAGGAGAGCTCCATCTTGGAGAGAGAGGCTGTATGCCTGCACTGCTGCCTCTTGAACTGACCATGCCGTAAGAGCTGGACTTCCTCCATGCAGACTGAAGGTGTAAATAGCTGAATAAACCCTTTTTCTTAAAGTACTGTTTCCACCATGTCTTTTATTCTCCAAAGTGACTCTACGCTACATCAACAGAAACATAGTGTCCAGATCACAGGAAGTAATAAAAGTAAAAGGTAAAGAACCCGAGGATGGTTACATCCAGTTGAATTTGACTATGGGGTGTAGTGCACATCTCTGCTTTCAGGCCGAGGGAGCCGGCGCTTATCATCAGATAGTCCATGCCATACATTTAAAGCACACTGCTTCCCTCAAAGGCTCCTGGGAACTGAAGTTTGCCTCTTGCAGAGCTATAGTTTTGGTGTACACCCTCCAGAATGCCAGCAAGGAGATCTGAAAAACAGAATTTTATAGCACAACTATTAATATTTACTCAGAAGGAAGCCTTCTTTGTTTACAGCCAAAGTACCGTATTTTTCGCTCTATAAGACACACCCGACCATAAGAGGCACCTAGGAGGAAAACAAGAAACAAGAAAGCCACGCAAAACCTCTTGAGCGAAGGAGCGCTCTGGAGGCTTTGTGTGGCTATCCCAGAAGCCAGAAGAGCAAGAGGGATCAGTGCGCAGCAATAGCTGCGCAGCCTGCATTCACTCCATAACACACACACACATTTCCCCTTACTTTTTAGGAGCGGAAAAGTGCATCTTATAGAGCAAAAAATACGGTAAATGTGCACTGGATTGCTTGGCAGCCTAACAGCTGCAAAGTTTACTCAGAAGCTATTCCCACAAAATACCTAGAACAAAGGTCTGTGGCCCTGCAGACTCTCATCTGCCCCAAATTAGAAGAATCTTTATTTGCATCAGCCACTAGCCATAGCAATAAAATAAAATAAAATAAAATAAAATAAAATGTACTGAAGAAAGAGGTAAAAACTTAACTATACAAAATAGATTTACATTAATAATCAAATAACCAGCATGTCAACGATGACAGAAGTTGTAGTCCACCTGAAATTGTGTTCAGGATTGTACGACAAACACTGTGGGGAAATTTAGCTATTTTGGTGAACTAAAAGCTCCTTTAAAACATACATAGGGAGATGGGGCAGAGAATGTGCAATGCCTGAACTCAACAGCAGGTTGTAGCATTTAACCATGAAGACTCCCAGTTGCAGAAAAGCGTTCTGTGCATAAAAATGACAGACACTAGACTTAGCACCTCGTTCTGTTCTGTTTGGCAATGAGCCGCTTTCATGCTTTATTACAGCAACTCCTTGCAGGGCAAAGGCTCTCCACAATCACATGCCCAACTAGGGCTGCAACACTGACCAGTGAAAAATCTCCGGGAAATTTAAGATCTTGACCTTGATGAATTGGGCATTGCCTCCAAGCTAACCCACAAACCAGCCTGTTGAATTTGGAACCCCTTGTGAACCTGCTGAGCTTTGTTGGCACAACTGGATGCAGACAAACCTCAGTTGGACATGGGGACATGCCACTCTCCTTTCCAGAGGCTTAGTTTAGTCAGCATTGAGTATACACCTCCAGAATTAACACTAAATGCATTACTTCTGGTAAATAAGGCACCACAGCCGCTAGAGGGCAGTGAAAATTTGTGTCCCAGGCTTCTTAGACTTGTCTGCCCATATTTTATCTGAAACCCAAGGGGCGCATTGGTTGCCAGATGTGAAATATATTGGCATTATTCTCAGCTCTCCTACCTCACTATTATTCCTACAAAGAAATTAAGGAACATGACGGACTTAGATCTATTAATTTCAGGTGGTTTAGAAAAAAATTGTTGGCTACAGCCCCTTGTTGTCGTTGTGGGAGTGCTTCCAACTGAACATCCAAGCATCAGCATTGAGATGGAAGAATCTCCTTTCCCAAACTGAGTGGTAGAACATCTGCTTAGCAGGCAGCGAGTCCTGAGTCCATCCTCCAGCATTTCCAAACTCCTACTTGAAATTCTGAATTGCTCCTCACGGTCAGTCTGGACAGTATTGTGCCAAATGGCCCAATGGTCTGACTCTGTGTAAGGCAGCTCCCCGTGTTCCTAAGCATTCTAAATGGAGTGCATTTGTTAAGGAATGCAGACTCTCCAAGTTTCCATCCCTGTTTCTGATATGATCCTTAGGATGTCCCTATTTTCACTGGAGAAAAGCTGGAGAGTATGGGGATGACTCCATCTCACTAAGAACCAGCAGGCTACCAAGAAGCTGGAAATAATGTGGGATGTAACTTGCCCAGCTTCCCTTAATATTGTGGACCATTGTTCTTTGAATATTGTTGAAACAGAACATGGTTCAAATTCTGCATTGGTTGAGATGAAATCTCTCCTTACCTGGATAAGTAAACTGTTTACCTCCCCCCCCAAAAAATATTTTTTTTAAGGGAAAGTAGAATAAACCATTTTAACGCAGCATCCACAAGGGCTTCCATCTACAAAGTGTTGTAACCTTAATAGAATGTTTTTGTTGTGTGTTTCTCTGGGTATTATAGAAATTACATTTGGCGCCACTTTCAAATCAAAGTCCAACTTTGCCAAGCCTTTCTCTCCTGGCCATGCTAGGCACATCACAAGGGGGTTGTGAGAATGTGTGCATATTACTAAATTGCCTTTATTTGGGGCATCTTCTGTTTCTGCACAAAGCGTGTGTTGCTGTCACCTGTGCACAAATATGCGCATATCTCCATAGAAAAGCTATATTTAGACTATCTTCTTTATGGTGTGTTTCATTTCCTTTTTTCTTTGTCTTCCAGTGGAGGCCCGAGGTCTTAAACATTCAGAATTCCCCGCTCTTTGTCCAAAGTGAGTGCCAAGAGACCTTGGCTGTCCTCCGCATTTTCAACTTCGCTCCGATTAGACTATGACCCTAAAAAGGCTGCGAATTCAGGGATGAAAAAGTGTGGGGTGGAAAAGGTAGGCACATGCAGAAGGGGGTTTTCCTTCTGGTCACGGTTGGACAGTCAATACCACGCAACTGGAACAGGGAAAGTGACCCAAGCAAAAGCACAGATCCCTTCTCCCCAGAGATGCATTCACACACACTTCACTTGGCAGTACCTCAGGACATTCTTTCCTCTCAAAACATTCCAAGAGACTTCTCATGCTTCCAACGCACTCAGCACCTCTGGATCCATCGCTTAAGTCCAGCCAAGCTACTGTGGTGTTGTGGTCAGAGTGTTGGACTAGGACCTGAGTGGCCAGAGTTCAAATCCCTGCTCAACTCTGAAGCTCACTGGGTGACCTTGAGGTCAGTTTGCAGGCTCTCAGTGTAGCCTGCCTCACAGGGTTGTTGTGCAGATGAAATGGGGAGGAAGAGAACCACCACCTTGAGCTGAGAAAAGGTGAGATATAAATGACAAAAGATCAATGAATGAACGGCAGTTAGACTGGTGATCATATAACACTGGTCCTAAAGGATCTACGTTGCTCCCTGTATGTTTCCGAGCACAATTCAAAGTGTTGGTGTTGACCTTTAAAGCCCTAAACCGTCTTGGCCCTGTATATCTGAGGGAGCATCTCCACCTCCGTCGTTCAGCCCAGACACTGAACTCCAGCTCTGAGGGTCTTCTGGCAGTTACCTCATTGCAAGAAGTGAAGTTAGAGGAAACCAGGCAGAGTCTGCCTCCGAGTCCAAGTTCCTCCCCATGGAAAATGGTGCCTAGTTGACTGCAGAGTGGAGGAGGAAGAGGAGTCCGTAAGTGACAGTGGAAACCAATTCTGGATCCACACGCCCTTCCACGGTGGGGACATAGGTTTCCGGGAGGGAGTTAATCACGGTGTGGATTTGCCAAGCATGCCTTCCTCTTAGCATGTTTCTACCTTTCGTCCTGAGTTCAAGCATCTTCAAAACCCATGACACCTTTGGTAAAGGCTGTTCTCCAACTTGAGAGATCGCAGGCCAGTGTTTCCCAGTTGTCGGTGTTTATACAGTACTACATTTTTTTAGATTTGCCTAGAGAGAGCCTTTAAACCTCTTTTGTTGACCACCAGCGTCACTCTTTCCATTTTTAAGTTCAGAATAGAGTAGTTGCTCTGGAAGACGATAATCAGGCATCCGAACGACATGACCAGTGCAACAAAGTTGATGTTGAAGAATGTAGTGCATGTGATGCCACTCGTCTACGTTGCAGCAGTGGGCACTTGTGGGTGAGGAGGAATCTCTGGTGACCACACACATGCATCACACCGATCCAGGAAGTGACCCCCAAATGTCATAAAAGGGGGCAGAGTGGGGGCAGAACAAGGTGTTTGCAGGCTTTTTCAATGGGTAATCTGATTGCACACAATTCATGCAAGCGTGCAATGATTCAAAATGCAACTGCCATCAAACGGAGTTGCCTGCAGTTCATGCCATATAGCTCAATGTTGTCCACACTAACTAGTAGCAGCTCTGCCAGGTTTCAAGTAGGCATCTACGTGGAGATGCTGGGGGGCGGTGTTTAAACCTGAGACCCTCTGCATGTAAAAAAGATGCTCTACCAGGAGCTATAGCCCTCCTGCCTCCCCCTGCCAGGTGTGTGTGTGTGTGTGTGTTCCTGTGCTCCTCCAACCCAGCATTTCCCACAGAAGGCAGCTGCTTAGAATCAAGGAATCACAGAATTGTAGAGTTAGAAAGGACCCCAAGGGTAATCCAGTCCAACCCCCTGCAATGCAGGAATCTCAACTAAAGCATCCGTGACAGATGGCCATCCCACCTCTGATGAAAAGCCTCCAATGAGTCAGTGTAGACAATATTGAACTAGATGGACCAATGGCTTGACTCTGTCCAAGGCAGCTTCCTAGGTCCTTATATTTCACACATCCATCCATATTCTGATTTCCTTTAATAAGACAAGCCTTGTGGGTGGGCAGATCTTTGCTATGTTCTAGGGGGCGGGGATAATGTTTTGCAGGAATTATTCATAGGGAATAATTTGTTCTCTGTGGCCTTCTAGGCACATCCAGTTAAAATCTACACCGCCACCCCCGCCAGGAATAATTTCAACCAATTAACTGTTGACAAGATGTAAAGTTGCAAATCTCAAGGGGTCTGTCTGCATGAGGAAATGCAAACTGCAAGGGGGGGGTGGTCCTCTTACTTTCTTCTCTCCAGCCCCCTCCACGCTGCTCTTCCGATCCTGGGTGATCGGATGGAAACTATTCCTGTCTTGTTTAGCTGGGAAAGAGCTCTTTGCTAGAAACAAGGGAGACACACAGACAGAGGGGGAGAGAGAGAGAGAGTGGAAAGCAAGCATCCAAAAATAGGCCAGTCGTTCAATGGAAGAAGCCATCTGTAGTAGGTAGCACAAACAGATCAATCACTCGACATATGCTTGTCCCACGCTGCATTTAAAATGTCATGCACACACAAAGGAGCTGATAAGGAGCAATGGAGACTCTTTTCTCTCTGCACATAATGAATTGTACGTGCGAGACTGAATGGAGGGAAAACTGCCTCTCATCTATATTATAATCTATCATCCGCCTCCTTGGCCTCCTCATCAGACATCATCATCCTCCCTTTATTGAAATCGGCAATGTTTTCTTTTGGTCCCTGAAAGACTAATGGATCTATTAGGGCATTGGGCTATGCTTTTACACAAATGTTTATGCCCCTCAACATCCACTAGTCTTTCAGGGGACACGAAAATCACAGAATTGTAGAGTTGGAAGGGACAACGAGGGCCATCTGGTCCAACCTCCTGCAATGCGGGAATCTTTTGCCCAATGTAGGACTTGAACCCACGACCATGGGTAGACTGTGTGAGAGAGAGGAAGCTCCTCGTCTGAGCACTGACATCAGGGGCCAACAGAGGCAAACCAAGGCAAACCTGGGTCCTGGGTCTGGACCTGGGTCCTGCTCAAAAGATTTCAAGGGCTGTGATGTCCTCTATATCGGCAGCCTGTTTTATTTATTAAATGATTTCCATATTGTGTATTCTACATTGGGTGTATGGGGTGTTAGAGGAGGGGTAGTACCTCTGGTGGATGATACATTGTACTTCTTCTGGAGTAGTCTTTCCATCTTTGGTCTCCACCCTCCGCTGGCAGTAGGAGTACAATATGGGCATGTCTTTAAGTTAACATCTTACATTAAAAACCTGACAGTACCAAATTATCGAAGGCTTTTCACCAAAGCCAGACTAAACGTCTTTCCTTCTGCAGTGTTGGATGGCAGGTTGAGAGGAGTTCCCTACCAGGACAGACTTGGCTCGTGTGCTCAAGACATCGATTCCATAAAACATATTTTGTTGCACTGGGCAAAATATGAGCAAGCCAGGGCTGATCTGATATTACCCTTGCTGGTACCTTTCCTGGGAAAATCAGAGGCTCACTATGTCAGGTTCCTATTGGAAGACCGGACAAACGCTAGAACATTAGCAGTGGCAAAGTTTTTATCGGTGGTTACAAGAACCAATGATCCCTATATTCTGAACAAAATGCTTGTTTAACCTGGAGGTAGGCTGTATGAATTGTGTATTGCTTTGTAACGATTTGTTGGGTCTCTGGACCGTAATAAAGATTGATGATGGTCTCCACCCTGCACTCGGCTCTCACCTGTGGCTCCTAAAAGTGTCAACATGTAACAGCGGCCACACCCCGGGAATGGTTTTGACTGGCTGGCTAAACCAGATGAGGGGAGCTGATGGGTCTCAAACCCTCGGTGAGCTAGGGGCTTCCCCTTCATGTGAAGACAGGCTGTGGCAGATTGAGCAGATGAGACTAATAGTGGGTCTAGTCACAGAATCGTAAAATTGCAGAGTTGGAAGGAACCCCAAGAGTAATCTAGTTCCTCTGAGTTCATTTCCACCTGTGCACAAGATCCTTTCTCTCTCTATCTCTGCTATATGTTGATCAGTATTTCCCCCCAAAGGTCCTGTGAATTCTTTAGTCTGGTCTTTCTCTGATCCATTTTCATTCACCATTCTGTGCATCTCATCTCTGAGCTCTTGCAATTGCTCATCCAATAATTGTGGGATGATACTAACAATAGTGGGTCTAATGGTCAAGAAGGCGGTTTCTGCACATGCTGTAGAGGGAAGTGAGGGGCAGGTGGGGCTCGTCCGCCTGGGAAAGGAGCCCATCTAGGAGAAGGAAAACTCTGATCCTAAACCTCTGCTGCCTTGCGGAATATCTTTGGGAGAAGAAAAGGCTCAGGAGTAAACCCTACACAAATTCGGAGTGGAGTCCCTAAGACAGTTGGATGGCACCTTGCAGCAGCCCCAGGCTCCTTTTTGTCGCAACACGTCTTTAGGTCTAAGCGATCATTGTTCTTCCTTGTTTTGTAAACAAATAAATAAAATAATAAGAATGGTTGAGCCAGCTTAGAGATTAACAAGCTCCAGCTGCTGCTCCAATGATTAAATATAAGCACATTTTCGAACCCCCTAGCTCAGATTTTATTCTTCCATGTGTTTTTCCTTGACAGGGCCAGAACAAATTAGGGGCGGTTTTGTGCACAATGACACTCACACACAAACCACATGCACAGAGGGTTTCGGACTATTTTAAGCTGCTTATCTAAATTCGGCAAATATTTTTAGGTCAAAACCACTTCATTTTGGTTCGAAAGGAAGCAGGCAAGCTGTTTGAACTAAAAGGGGTTGGAACTGGGCTGCACAGTTTTATTTGAAAAGGGTTAGTTCAACATACGCCCCTCAATTGCTAAAAAAGAAGGGCAATTAAATCTTTGTTGGGTTACTTTCTTTCCCTCCCCCCAACATCAGTTCACTTGTGAAGGTATGAAAAATTGGTATAAACAGGGCTGGGAACATGTGAAGTTTTATTTTGCTCTTTGAAATCTAGGGATAAAAGCTGCTTTATACTGAGTCAGATCACTGCTCCATCTAGGTCATGCACACTTAATCCTAAAATGGGCATTTTGGTACATATTACCCAGCCAGAGAACTGCATTACAGAATTTGGAAAGCTGCAAATTTCAATGGGTGGCTATGTTTAGGTCTTTAATTAATTATGATTAATTACCGTATTTTTTCGTTTATAACATGCCCCCATATATAAGATGACCCCTATTTTTTTGAGACTTCAAATTAATGGGGGAGATTGCCCAGAGTTCTTGAGCTTTTGGGTGGGGGGGACCGCAGCTGCCAATCGCATGCCTTGCCGAAGCCACCAATCGCCTGTCTGTTCAAGG